CCAATCACGACTCGAACACAGCCAGTCACAGGGCATCCAGTCATTCGGAGTCGGTTGTCGCGACGGCCCTGGAGGTGAGCCAGCACTGAGAAGAACAGCTGACTGGAAACGAAACTTCTCCCCACATTTTCCCCGTGAGCTGCTGGCCGTTGACTGCTCGTTGGGCGGGGGGAGGGGGGCGAAAATGAGAAATGAAGGTCATTTGGTGTTACTAGCATATTGTATAGATACACGAATAAGGAAAGTACCAAATGAGGAAAGTATTAGGACCCAGATCAATTAGATCCTGGGAGACCAAATGGGAAGCGCCAACAAGCAGTGACCGTTACACCTGTGTGGGTTTTGTCTTGTTGCAGTCTTGCATACAGAATTTGATAATGACATTGAGCATAAATATGAGCTCGTGATTGTACAAAGAACACTTTTATCACAATGTCATAACGATAACTGATTTATGACTAAATATTTTGAGATTTTCAAAGAAAAAAAAATTATGTGTAAAATATTTTAAAATTACTGTATAGATTATAACATATTTCTTTTTGACTTGATCTAACCGTCGGTACCGTCCAGGGTCGGCAAATTTGATTTGATTTATAGCTGGTCGTTTTGCAGTAAAGACCACTTCAATACGAAGGGCACGTAGAAACTGGATCTTTGAACTTCGGAAATATAATCTAGATATCGATTATTTTATGTTGAAGATAGTACATAGTGATACACGGTAAAAAAGGAAGAAAGAAAAAGGAATTTTGAATGCGGTCTCTTTGTAAAGAGTTGAAACAGCTATCGCATCCTTTTCATGTGTTTCCAATGGAAACGTTACGTGTAGACGTTACCAGAAGGGGTAGGTGCCAAAGAGAGGCAGATATCCAGCCACACCTTGGCGTCCGATGCTTTTTATGCTCTTCCTAGTAAAGGTAATGGTTGCAAATGATTGAACAACAACTCTACACTCGTCTCCAGTTCTAAAACTGTATTTAAAAAAAAATCGTTAAAGAAAGCGAGGGTTAACTAATACCTTTATTGCTTTACATAAAAATCGATATAGACCTACTAAATGAGGATGATTAAAATGGTTGACCATATGTGCGTGTGTTTACATGTGTTCGTGCTAGGACTATATAACTAGAATAATTTTTTTATTGATACTGCCATCCATAGTTCTTTTTTTCACAATCGGAATTTCCAAGAAATTGGTTAAAAAAATTATATTTCTTTATGATTTAAAACATTCATTAAGCGTTTCAGATAAAACTGTTTGTTTTTATACACACACACACACACACACACACATATATATATATATATTATATATATATATATATAATCAGATTTCCTGAAAATATAATAGAGAAAACTAACTTTAGGCAAAGTTCCACCAGTATTTTTTGTTCTTTGTTGACACCACTGAACTCAAACATCTATTGTTGCATTTTTGAGCCGACAGCGGCCATCCCTGGGGGACCACTTTGCAGTGGGGTCATGTTCGTAACGTACAATTAGAGCGGAGAAATTAAGAAGTGTTACATTTTATGAACATGTGTGACATGGATGATTTGGTATCTCTGGTAGCTTTTAAAAAGGCAATTTTTAGTTTACGTAAGCGAAGTTTTCAGTACACAAGGGAAGTCAAAGCCTGATTTTTAAATTTCAAAATAAAACTGCTAAATGTAGTTTACGTAAAACTCGATAATAAAGCAAAAGGTGGTCATCCTCCCCCCCCCCAAAAAAAAAAAAAAAAAGTATATTAAAAAATCGGGCTTTGGCTTGTCCTGCACATATGGTAGATCTAACGCAAGAATATTTTTTAGGTTGATTAGGGAAACATTACGACCCGTGGACGCATCCCAGTCACTTTCGGCTTTTGGAGGACTCATACCCCCCTATGGCAGAGCCGGAATAAAATCATATATGGGACTGAGGGAGAGAATATATGCAAAGCTATTTTGTACCCTTTTGGATTAACCTTATACAGTCAAAACTGTAAATCTTGATTTGTTGATATATGACAACCATTAAGACCAGTAAATGCCTATGATTGTTGCAATCATCCTTTTATGTGGCATTAGGAGTTGATGTGAACATGAATATGAAACTCCAGTCAAAATTACTTTCACTTTCCATATAAAGAACAAAGAATGTACAGTAATTAAATGGAAAATTAAATGATACATATAACACTTCCATAACTGTTCGCTTGTTTTGAAAAATCACACCATTCTGTTAAGCAATATCACGATATTCTAGGGGCGTTCTTGTGCCAAACAATTTTTAAACTTTGCCAAAAATGTTTTGATAATCTCTTGTGTTACAACCGCGAGGCAACAAAAGACCAATTGTTATACTGAATACTTACGGAGAGCATTTTTCGCCCCGCATTTTGCATCTTTTCCAGAGTGTCGTTGGCAGTCTCTGTTTCAGCTATGAGGCAGAAGAGGAGCGCCAACAGCGAACCCAGGAACCAGATAAAACGGGAAGCCATCGTCACCCACTTTTCTGGAAGCACAAGGTCTACATTCACATGTGCATACACACTTACATACATACACACATACATTACAAATATGTGCACAAGTGTATATACATGACATAACAATGTAGTACAAAAGTACTATATCAATAAATTTCTCTCCAAACGTGTCAGTTCCAAGGAAGCGTCACTGTTTTTTTTTTTTTTTTGGGGGGGGGGGAGCTCCAGCGGACAGAACACTGAGCGCGAATGAGCAAGTGTGTGGCATAAATGCAGGCGCAAGAGGTGATCTTGCTCCTCTGTCTCTCGTATTGGGGTCAAAGAGGTACGTGATTTAGACCTTGGAGGTTCAATAGGGCCCCTGTTCATAAAATTCACGAATAAGGACCAATCACAAATTCTATGTATCCGACAAGCAGTGAATGCCGTGAACGCCATCAACAGCAAGGGAGTGATTGTTCATTTGCTGTGTGATTGCAATGAAGGAATGTTCTAGAGCATCAAAGTCCTTATGGATTCCCATTCCCAGATGAACAATATCAGCTTTGTTGCAATTATGGGAATGGTAAGCACTCAGTGATAAAAAAATATATATATACATTTTCGTGAAAATCTGTGCTCGTACTAAAATCAAAACGTGTTTAGAAAAAAAAAAAAAAAAAAAAAAAAAAAAAAAAAAAAAAATATATATATATATATATATATATATATATATATATATATATATATATATATATACGAGTATGACTGTCAAATAAGCAATTACTACTTTAAGAGATAATTACAGCATTTGCAGGTAGTCATCCCCTGGTGCTGGACCCTTTGTCATGAGGACAGGCTGTAGGAAGCCATCCTTGCCTCTACCGCCATGTTGGTCAGCAGGTGATGGCTTATGCAGAGATTTCAATGCCCTTTTCCATATTTATGCCTGACAGCTTGCACGTTTAATATGCAGGAGCAGACTGTCTGGTGTGGGGGAGATTCGTTTCTTTGGCCTTTCTGACGAAGCAACCAGTGTCTGACTTTTTTCTCTGTTCTGGCAACCTCGGAGGGTAGGTACATGGAACGATCAGACTCTTCAAGATACGACTTTGTTCAGCTCTGCGTACTCACCAAGCAGTCTTAGTCTGCACTGATGCTCCTTCAAGTCCTGGTAGAACCTTGCAGACCTGACCTAGTCAGGGAGTGGACCAGTATTGCAGGCTGTCGAAGTGTGCGGCACATTATATAGCTGCATGAGTGGCTGGCGTGCGCCTGCGTGCGTGATTATCTGATTGGCCCTGCCATTTGACTTGCTTCAGAAATCCTTATCTGGGTGGTACCAACTAAGAAGTTACAAAATCTTTAGATTTGTTCTTCTTTTATTTTCAAAGCCAGCAAAAAAGTGGAATATGAACATGAACATTTAGGTCCAGCAAACTGGCAACAAATTGACCAAGTGGAGCATTAGGAATCTCGAGTATCTAAGTGTGTTTATATCAGAGCAAATGAATTTTCCCCTTTAGAAATAAGCAATTTTTTATGCGTGTTTTTCGTAAGAGTAACAACCATTGTACATTAAATGAATATTCTTTGGTTCTTTACAGGGTCTATGTGTATGCATGTGTCATAGCCTTAAACACAGTATACATGTATGTCTTAGCGAGATAAAGAGAGACGAGACAAACAGGAACGGATAGGATGAAAGAGAGAAATCGTAAAGCAGAGAGAGGGAGGTTCATGCCCATATTTGGTCACATTACGACATAAAAAAAAAAAAAAAAAAAAAAAAAAAGTTTATCTCCGTAAGGGCAGAGTATCCGGCGGTATCTAATGCTGAGCACCTGTGGTGGAAGACGCTACCTGTTTGATTCTAAGATGAATTTATTAAGGTGTTTCATCGTATCCTCTTCTTATCTTTTGTTGTTTATGCATGTAGAAGAGGATTATTTTCAGTTTTTTTCTGTGGGGATAGAATACTGTTTATTTCTCGCCCTTTCTGCTCGTTTTTCCAGTATAGTCAGCGCCACTCTCGACTAAACACGTCTATTACTCGTCACCAAATTCTCACAACATGGATTGGCAGCAAAATAATTCTATGATTAGCTTTGACTCTTTAGTTTATATTATCGCAAATATATGTCGAAATCGATGCAACAGGTGGCTATAATCACTTTGAAACCCTTACGTCACATTTATTGGTGGAAGAACAATTTATTACTGTTAGATGTGGAAATGTATTTATCATATCCAGATTGTCGACAACACCGGTGTTGTCCATATTCGAAAATTCATCATTTCGAATGTGAAATATGACACGGAAAAATGCATAAACATTACATTGCATTACTTTTGAGATATAAATTATATGCTTGTAACACCAGGGCCTTAGACTTTGTGTGTGTGTGTGTGTGTGTGTGTGTGTGTGTGTGTGTGTGTGTGGTGTGTGTGTGTGTGTGTGTGTTGTGTGGGTGTGTGGGTGTGGGTGTGGGGTGTGGGTGTGGTGGGTGTGGGTATGTGTGGGTGTGGGTGGGTGGTGGGTGTGTGTGGGTGGAAAGTACGGTTGCATACGTGCCGGCTCTAAGGGTGATATCGCCTCCATATATCTCGGCCAACACAACACGGGTAAGTCCCTGTCATACGCCGCCTGCGGTACATCACGTAGACACTCTATCATTATTTGTAGTATTATTAGCCATCTGCGTCTACGTCCCGCAAGTTTTTTTCTTCTTCCGCTTCTTCTTTTAAATTCGTCCAGCCACAATTCAAGGACAGAGATGATTGTATGATTGTAGTGATAATGTGAAATTGGCTATCTTTATAACCACGAACGTTAAGTGATTTTGATGGTTGTGTGGACTTTATGAACTTCAGCGTGACAAACTTCATTACTCTCTGCAGAATCCACTCTTTCGTGAAGTCCCACAGCTGTTCATTCATCATAAAGTTTTACTCAGTTCCAGTCAGAATATACATTTCTCTTATTTACCACCACTTATATTCCGGTTCTGACCAAGGTTAGATGCGTCAATCTTTCTCGGAGACGAGGCTCCAAAACAGCACATTACTGGCTGCTGCAAAAAGACTAGATAAATCGGAGTATATTAAGCTGATATTAAAGAACAGACTCGTTTTGGTGTACCTGGGCTCCCACTTCCAGCAGGAGGATGCTCAAACATATATATATATATATATATATATATATATATATATATATATATATATATATATAGAGAGAGAGAGAGAGAGAGAGAGAGAGAGAGAGAGAGAGAGAGAGAGAGAGAGATGTATATGTATATAGATATATACATATATATGTATATATATATATATATATATATATATATATATATATATATATATATATATATATATATATACGTGTATACGTGTATTTATTATATATATATATATATATATATATATATATATATATATATATAATATATATATATGATTATTTATATATACATAAATGATTATATATATATAGATAGATAGATAGATAGATAAATCAATATGTATATATATACATAAATGATTATTTATTTATATATTCATATACATATATATATATACAATTATTTATGTATGTATTTACATATATATAAATAATTATATATATATACATATATATATATATATATATATATATATATATATATATATATATATATATATATAAACAATTATATATATATTTATAAATAAATAATTATGTATATATATATTATATATATATATATATATATATATATATATATATATATAATTGTTATGTATATATATGTATGCATGTAATTATTTATGTATATGTATAAATATACATAAACAATTTTATATAGAGACAAATAATTTCATATATAGACATAAATAATTATATATAAACATTTTTATATTACATATATATGTGTGTGTATATATATATATATATATATATATATATATATATATATATATATATATATATATATATATATATATATATATATATAAATATATATATATATATATATATATATATATAAAATTTTATTATACATAAATACTTTATATATATATATATACATATATATACATATATATATATATATATAATATATATATTATATATATATATATATATATATATATATATATATATATATATATATGCATATATATATATATATATATATATATATATATATATATATATATATATATATATATATATATATATATATGACACATACATACACACACAAAGTCTAAGGCCCTGGTGTTACAAGCATATAGTTTATATCTCAAAAGTAATGCAATGTAATGTTTATGCATTTTTCCGTGTCATATTTCACATTCGAAATGATGAATTTTCGAATATGGACAACACCGGTGTTGTCGACAATCTGGATATGATAAATACATTTCCACATCTAACAGTAATAAATTGTTCTTCCACCAATAAATGTGACGTAAGGGTTTCAAAGTGATTATAGCCACCTGTTGCATCGATTTCGACATATATTTGCGATAATATAAACTAAAGAGTCAAAGCTAATCATAGAATTATTTTGCTGCCAATCCATGTTGTGAGAATTTGGTGACGAGTAATAGACGTGTTTAGTCGAGAGTGGCGCTGACTATACTGGAAAAACGAGCAGAAAGGGCGAGAAATAAACAGTATTCTATCCCCACAGAAAAAAACTGAAAATAATCCTCTTCTACATGCATAAACAACAAAAGATAAGAAGAGGATACGATGAAACACCTTAATAAATTCATCTTAGAATCAAACAGGTAGCGTCTTCCACCACAGGTGCTCAGCATTAGATACCGCCGGATACTCTGCCCTTACGGAGATAAACTTTTTTTTTTTTTTTTATGTCGTAATGTGACCAAATATGGGCATGAACCTCCCTCTCTCTGCTTTACGATTTCTCTCTTTCACCCTATCCGTTCCTGTTTGTCTCGTCTCTCTTTATCTCGCTAAGACATACATGTATACTGTGTTTAAGGCTATGACACATGCATACACATAGACCCTGTAAAGAACCAAAGAATATTCATTTAATGTACAATGGTTGTTACTCTTACGAAAAACACGCATAAAAAATTGCTTATTTCTAAAGGGGAAAATTCATTTGCTCAGATATAAACACACTTAGACACTCGAGATTCCTAATGCTCCACTTGGTCAATTTGTTGCTAGTTTGCTGGACCTAAATGTTCATGTTCATATTCCACTTTTTTGCTGGCTTTGAAAATAAAAGAAAAACAAATCTAAAGATTTTGTAACTTCTTAGTTGGTACCACCCAGATAAGGATTTCTGAAGCAAGTCAAATGGCAGGGCCAATAAGATAATCACGCACGCAGGCGCACGCCAGCCACTCATGCAGCTATATAATGTGCCGCACACTTCGACAGCCTGCAATACTGGTCCACTCCCTGACTAGGTCAGGTCTGCAAGGTTCTACCAGGACTTCAAGGAGCATCAGTGCAGACTAAGACTGCTTGGTGAGTACGCAGAGCTGAATAAAGGCGTATCCTGAAGTTTCTGATCGTTCCCTGTACCTACCCTCCGAGGTTGCCAGAAAAAAAGGTCAGACACTGGTTGCTTCGTCAGAAAGGCCAAAAAAACGAATCTCCCCCACACCAGACAGTCTGCTCCTGCATATTAAACGTGCAAACTGTCAGGCATAAATATGGAAAAGGGCATTGAAACCGCCAACATGGCGGTAGAGGCAAGGATGGCTTCCTACAGCCTGTCCTCATGACAAAGGGTCCAGCACCAGGGGATGACTACCTGCAAATGCTGTAATTGTCTCTAAAAGTATTATTTGCTCATTTGACAGTCATACTCGGTATATATATATATATATATATATATATATATATATTATATATATATATATATATATATATATTTTTTTTTTTTTTTTTTTTTTTTTTTTTTTTTTTTTTTTTTTTTTTTTTTTTTTTTTTTTTCTAAACACGTTATGATATTAGTACAAACACACATTTTCACGAAATTGTAATTTTTTATCACTGAGTGCTTACCATTCCATAATTGCAACAAAGCTGATATTGTTCATCTGGGAATGGGAATCCATAAGGACTTTGATGCTCTAGAACATTCCTTCCTTGCAATCACACAGCAATATATACATAAAAAGAGATGCATAAACTTATGTATATATATCCATACATACATACACACGCATACTTACATACACATACATACATAAGCATAAACATAAACACACACACACACACACACACACACACACACAACACATATATATATATATTAGATAGATAGATAGATAGATAGATAGATAGTATATATATTTATGTGCATATAGTATGCACACACACATAATATATATATATATATATTATATATATATATATATATATATATATATATATATATATATATATATTATATATATATATATATATATGTGTGTGTGTGTGTGTGTGTGTGTGTGTGTGTGTGTGTGTGTGTGTGTGTGTGTGTGTGTGTGTGTGTGTGTGTGTATGTGTATGCACACACAATCACACACACACTCTCACAAACACAAACACATATATACACATGTAAGAATAAAAATCCTCCCTAACTAGGATTCAAGCCCGTATCATTGCAGACAGGTAACTGCAATACAGACGCTCATACCAACTGAGCCACACGATCCACTAAAAGGAATGTGCAACTTAGCTCATCTAGCTTCCGTTACTCATGCATGAGTAGATAGGTAATGCCTATGGATGCTAAATAGCTCCTAGTTGCACACTCCATTCAGGTGATTGTGTGGTTCAGTTGGTCTTACAGCTACCTGCCTGCAATGACACAGGTTCGAGTCCCGGTTGGGGAGGGTAAGTTATTCATTCATCAAATTAATGCGGTAGTGCATTATTCTATCTTTTATATATGTAAATGTGCATAAATATACAAACACACTCACACACACACACACAACACACACACACACACACACACACACACACACACACACACACACATAATATATATATATATATATATATATATATATATATATAATATATATATATATATATATATATACACAAACATACATACATATATAAATAAATAAATAAATAAATAAATACATATATAATATATATATATACACATTTTTTATTGAGAGAATATATGTATTTATACATATATATGCATATATTTGTATATATATGTATATGAAATTATACATATATTTTATATAAGTATACACAAACACACACACATATATATGTTATATACATAAATATATATATATATATATATATATATATATATATATATATATATATACATATATATATATATATATATATATATATATATATATATATATATATATATATATATATATATATATATATATGTGTGTGGTGTGTGTGTACATATATTTAGAAATATATATATATATTAAAATATATGTATTTATGCATATTATATATATATATATCTCTCTAATATATATGCATTAATATGATAATGATGGTCTTGTGGGCAGGTGGAATGAAAGGGCCTTGTGGAGGGTCTATTGGGGAAGGTGATGTGAGACCCCACGAGAGACCCCACGTGCTCCAGGGTGCCGAGGGCGGAGCGGTGACCAGCGAGACCGTCGTCTGCCTGCCGTCAGCCCTTCTGCATGTCTCTCTTGCTCTGCCGCCGTTGTCTGACAAGGCGTCTTCTTATGCAGTTATTCCTTACGAGGGCGTGTCGGAAGTGAAAGCAGAGTAAACACGAGCGTCTGCTGAAGGAGGAAGGTATCTGCCGGGGACCTAGGTGCGAAGTGGGAACCGTCCGGCCTTCGAACATATCGTTGACAGAACATATCGTTGACATCGCTCGGACGCGCAAGAGGCTTGTCCTCGAGTCGTCTGCAACGTCTTGTGCACTGATGGCGTGCCTGGTGGCAAGCTCTGCTAGGCTTCTATGGATGATTGCTGGTGATCCGTGGTCCTTAAAGGTCGTCCCATGCCAGAGAAGCGGCGTGGTGGAGGTTTTGCAGCGAGGTGCAACATTCAATAGCGAGGAGGGTCACATCGCCTTCAGGGGCTGAATTATAAGTGCACCATGCCCGTAAAAGGGCTAAGGAGCGAGGATAACAAATTACTTGTCAGTAACCTACCTAAGATGCCAGAAGAATGAGTGTAATAAGAACATTTGCCACGAGAAGGGTGACGTGTCACATGAGGTGTTAATTACTTAGTTGTTAAGATTAGCGAGTAGAGTACCATCGTATTTGGTAGAGAGAATTATTAAAGAGCAAGAATTCCACACTTTTGGGCTAAATAGGCAAGTAATTATGTTTCGACCCATGTCGGCAGCTGGGCCTGAATTTAAGTAGCTGTGCTTGTCTCAGGCGCGACTTGTAAAGGCTGTATGATCGTGTGAGTAAATAATCTATGCGCATCTCGGGCGCGACTGGTAAGTGCTGTATGAATGTAAGTGCGAGTAAATAAAACGTACGGTGGAGTGCTACTTCATTTTACAGCCATGAGCCAGCTTAAAATGAACTTGAATGAATATCTTACAGTACAAGAGATTTATTTGACCGGTTTCGAATATATCTTCGTCATGCATTTCTGACAAAGATATATTCCAAACCGGTCAAATACATCTCTTGTATTGTGAAGATATTCATTCTCATTCATACCTTTCTACATTTGTCAACATGAATACAGTTCAAGGTAGCATAGGCGTGAGTAGTCAGCCCGAAGTAGTGTGGTAGACATGATGTGGGTGGGCGTGGATTAGAAGAGGCCTTGGTAGTGATGGCTGGGCGCTAAGGGAGGCGAGGAGGTACTTCGAAAGGAGCTTATCTTGGTAACAGGAACATTCATCTCCACTGGCCACCAGATGTGATAAGGATGGGCATGAGAAGTTGGCCCACCGCCAGCCACCAGATGTGATAGAGTTGGTCTTATGAGCAGGTGGAATGAAAGGGAGGAGGAGAGAGCAATGTTAGGGAGATCATACATACTTATACATGTGAGTACGTGCATTTTCATGTGTGTGATTGAATATTTAGGAAAATTGGTTTGATAATGATTAGCACATTGATATATTATTAAAAAAAAAAGAAAAAAAAAAAAAAAAAAAAAAAAAAAAAAAAAAAAAAAAATATATATATATATAATATATATATATATATATATATATATATATATATATATATATATATAATATATATATATATATATTATATATATATATTTACTATATAATAATATATAAATATATATTTTTTTTTTTTCCTAGATCGTCGTGCTGAACGGAGTGACGTCATGCCTCGACGCCTTAAGCCACGCCCTTTGTGACCCTGGTGACGTCATAATCACACCCACTCCCGTGTACGCCCGCATGTTCACGGACGTCCACGATCGGGCGGGGGCGGCGGTGTTGCCCCTCGTGCTGCGTCAGGAGGTGAGCCCGGACATTCTGTTGCAGCAGAAGGAAAAGATTTCTCTGATGGATGTTATTAAGGATGTTTTTATTATAAAGGAAGTTTAGCTCAGTTGCCAACTATGATTTACATCAAGACGGGATGGGGCTTCTTGTGTTCATGTACCTTGATGTGAACAATATTGGTGGAAATATATGACAGCCTCACGAAGATGTGAAGCGAAACTTCCTTTCTCCTTTCTGTGCTAATTATAAGCTTTAAAATGTTTCATATATTTAAAACAGACTTTATTGTACACTAGGTACTCGACTCCATAGTATCATTGATGTGATTTTTACAATAAACAGCCTTCTGATTTTGTTACAACTTGAACAAGTACCTGTCCAAAACGTAGACCTAAGTGCTGCTGAATGAAGTTGCTTCATGTTCTAGGTTGCTTCTATTCGCCGAAACAATGTTCTTGCCACTTTGAATGAAAATCTCCTCAGCATATTTTTGTCGCCTGATTCCCCGGTTTCACCTCTGCTCTGTTTCTTCTTAAATGCCATCATGCTGTCCTATTTCCGCAGGCCGATTCCTCCGATGAGAGCTTCCTACTTCGTGCGGAGGATCTGGAAGCGCGGGTCGAGGCCCTGCATCAGGAGGGGCGTCGCGTGAGGGCCTTCATGCTGGTGCATCCCAACAACCCTCTCGGCGACGTGTACTCGCCCCAGCTCCTCTCCGACCTTATGGACGTCTGCGCAAGGTACACGATATGGATTTCCCGACTCCTTTGCTCCCTCACTCTCTCCGTGTTCCCTCTCAGCCACCTCGTCTTCTTCACAGACACGAGATCCACTTCATCAGCGACGAAATCTACGCCCTTTCCATTTTCACTGACGAAGACGAGCCGTCCTCTCGCCCGCCCTTCCGCAGTGTCCTCAGCCTTCCTCACCCGGATCCAGATCGCACTCACGTCTTGTGGGGACTGAGTAAGGTGGGTGTAACTTCGGTTGACTACTTACTGATAATGTACTCATGTATTCTGCTGGTTTGCTGGTGTCTGTTGTCGAAGCTGGCGTTTCCTAAAGCTTGTTGTTCAATCGTCGGGGAAAGCTGGGTTCCTTGTTCAGCGGATGAAGTGGATATTAATCTTTTTCTAAGGAATGGTTGCTCTTGAGGCTATTTAAAAAATACATATAAGGAAATCGAAAACAATACCAAAGACTTTAAATTAGCCCATGATAAACTAATAGGGCACTACCGAAAATACTTTTAGAAATAAATCATACATTTTACGAGACAGAGGAATAGTCTTTCTGCAAATGTATACTTTTGCTCATTCATTCCATGGTAAAACACACACACACACATATATTCCTGATATCGTTAGAGCTTACTGCATATATACTGTAATATACAACCAGTGGCAAATGCAAGATTCTAATTTCATTATGCAGAATAGTCAGCCGGCTCTCCCACTCATCATCAAACCATTTGTTTACATGAAGAAAGATGATTTCTTTATTTGATTGTCAAACATTGTACATATGTTAGTGTGTATAATTTCTGTACACACACAACACACACACATGTATTATATATATATATATATATATATATATATATATATATATATATATATATGTGTGTGTGTGTGTGTGTGTGTGTGTGTGTGTGTGTTGTGTGTACACACTTTTCTAAGCCGATAGAAAATTAGATATAAACGCTATTCCCAATTTCTTTGCTTTTTCTTCTTCCGGTGTCAGTCTTTTCTGTCATACTACTTTCTTCTCTTCGTTCTTTTCCCTAAAGGATTTCGGGCTCGCTGGCCTCCGTGTGGGCGTGGTGGTCAGTCGCTGCGCCGAGCTCATGACCTGCCTGCGCGCCATCGCCATCTACAAGTGCACGCCCCAACTCGTGCACCATGCGGCGGCGGCGCTGCTCTCCGACACAGGTAAGAGGTTATATATATATATATATATATATATATATATATATATATATATATATATATATATATATATATATATATATATATATATATATATATATTATATATATATATAGTAGATAGATATAGATAATTAGATATTGTAGATAGATATGTACACACATCTTATATCTATATATATGAATATTAACACACACATGCATGTATGTATCTATATATATATATATATATATATATTATATATTATATTATATATATATACATATAATATAATACACACACTCTCTCTCTTCTCACACACACTGTAATATCCACAATAAACTGCAGGCTGTTTACTCTGAGTCTGCTTCTCCAAACGGCAGATCCTGCCTCACGCGAGACGGCACTCAGTCTGCATCACTCACGCATTCGGCCACGTCACACACACACACACACACACACACACACACACACAACACACACACACACACACACACACACACCACACACACACACACACACACTGTGTAGAGTGCAGTGCATCGTATCAGAGCAGTACAGCTTATATGTGATCTTAAATGCGGCGAGGATTAGACCAGTTTCGTTAACTAAGTATGTAAACTGTTAGAAAGGATAAATAGGAAACAATGAGTTGAAGTAAAAAAAAAAAAAAAAAAAAAAAAAAAAAAAACATGGAATGACATCGAATAAGCAATTTGGTGATAATGTGTCTCACAGAGGATTATCATAGACAAAATGGACATCGTAATTAGAGGGAAGCACTCTACATGACGAGTTATCAGCGGAGTGCCCCAAGGATCAGTCTTGGCGCCGATTATGTCTACTATTTTCGTCAATGATTTAGGATCAAACATAAGCTCAATTTTTTTTAATATATAAATAAATGAATAAATAAAAGGACAGAATAAAGAAAATGTCTCACACCAATGACTCTAAAATGACACCGAAATTTACTTATGTGGAGTTGTACTTGGAAAGTGGAATTAATCACCAACAAATGCCGCGTAGTCAGGTTCGGAAACAGTAGTATGTGGACAGAGATATGGTAAAGATCGTTGCAACCATCATAATACCTAGTCAAGAGTACGGTTCAGTGGTATGGAGTCCACACTTAAAAAAGATATAGACAAAATGGAAAGAAAAAAAGGGCTACAAGATGGGTACCTACGCTACGAAGATAGACTACAAA